TAGCAATCACCTTCGGGCCCCTCCTCCCCCCGGCCCCACCCACCCTCACCTGCTATTGAATAACCCAACAAATACAATGTACATAGGCATATAAAATCACTTTACTGTAGCATATCTATTATATACCAACATACTCTCTCTCTCTCTCTCTCTCTCTCTCTCTCTCTCTCTTTTTTTTTTTCTCTCTCTTTTCCGCGTGCTTGCGAGGCTCCCCAAACCCCCGGGCCCCGGGACATTGGCCCTCCCTGACCCCCCCCCCCTCTCGACAGGCCTGTGCGGCACACACGAGTAATGTTATAATAATATATTATTATGTATATTACAGACAGACAACATATTTAGGGAACCTAAACAAATGGGTAACAGGAAAAGATCAGGGAGCTTTTTTGAGAGCATCCGAGCAAAGGAATGAATGTAGAACCATGATCGCCGATGTCTGTCGCAGATCTGGCACTGGATGATGATGATTACAAATAGAGAACGACAGACAGAAGCCACGTGATCTACAGTTTCTGACTGCAGTCTAAGCGACAAAAGTGTTCAGTCTTTTGCACTGAGAGTCCTTGTGGACTGTGAAACATACAATTTTCAAACAAGGCAAAGAGCATTACCATTTTTTCAAGACCTCCCTCCGTAGCACCTCATCAAGGCAAAAATAACCTAAGACTAAGACCTGAACACACACACAAAAAGTCATGCACTGACATAGAACCATTTAAAACTACATACAAAAAAATTCATCAAACAATATCCCAACTTAATTTGTTCTCCATCCATGGTCCCAACAAGATCTGTCATTTTATAAACGAAACTACTGGTCTTTACATTAGAATAGAAATAGAGTGATTCGCAGATGTAGACTGCTATTTTGCAAACTGAATGTGTACCATGTATATTAAGATGTTTCAAACAGGCCAGCTTTACAAAGTAAAACCACGCCGTGTTGTAAACTGACGAGAAAGCAATCAACTTTAGTCCTACACTCCCATGTGACTTTACGCAGTTACGAGCGCCGTAAAACTTTTTCCAAACTAAAGTGAAAAAAGGCGCAAATACTCGCACCTGAAGAAAACGCCAAAACCGAGCATTACTGTCGTTTGAGGTTAAAAAAAAACCCAACCCAACAACTATAAAACGTTTGAGCAAAACAGGAGCCAGTCCGAAAAAGCGTGTGTCTAGTTCTGTGTATATTGTAGATCATTCTGCTCTCATCGACAGTGCAACAAATAGGCACTAGACACCCATTACATTCCAGATAAAATCACCCGCTCTGTAATATGACCAGCACAGGATGAACAAAATCTCGACAATTTCCCTTAGCTCAGGTTACAAATTTGTCTCCGGAACCCCAAACCATCAGCGTTATCAAACCAGTGGTCAGTGTGTCCGTTACCTTGGCTGGACATCGGGTCTTGTGAATGTGTTGTCGTCCATCGTAGACCGGACTGGGTCTCAGATCTTACGTCAGCGGATAGCTGTCTCTTCCTGTGGACAAAAGTGAAGGATTCTGGGTATGTGCTCTCTTTGTTCACGGTATCGTCGGTGCTTTTCCTCGGTCGTTTAGATCAAATTCTGGGGGATTCCAGGTAAAGTTGTCCTTGGCTGGATTAAAGACACCAAGGGACATTTCACAGTTTTATTTTTGTTAATTTCTGTCCAAGTTTTCAGTTGATAAAAAACGAGTGGTCAAAATCCTAGCGGTTTAGAATTTGGGCTCTCTCTTTTGCTTTTTTGGGGGGTAAGTGTTTTACGGCACTCGCAACCGCATAAGGTCATATGAGGGCGCAGGACTCAATAAATATGTACGTTTGGTAACAGATTTTGAATTTTGCCTAGGTGGCAGCCGAAGCTTACTCTTATCGATTTTCGACCACCAAGGGATCTTTCACGTACACAAATTGCACATGGGAGGTCCGAGATTTTTCGCCCTTGTCCGAGAAGGCTAGGTGTAGATCTTTCCTACAAGAAGATCAGGGGTGTGGCAGAAGGACAGCAGCAAAAAGGTCCCAAGGAGTAGCAGTAGAAAGGCTGCAGAAAGAGTCAGGAGCCCAGAGGAGAGGGCAAAGGAGGTGAGGGGGTGGGGACAGAAAGTGGAGACGAAAGCAGACGATAAAACATTGCTTGAGAACAGGAAAGGAGGTGAGAGAAGACAATTTTAGAGCAGAACATTTTCCGTCACTTCCCAGATTCGAACATGGCACCTTTGAATGAGAGGCAAACACCTAAACCTCTAGGCCA